TATTGGATATGCGTCTATTAATAGATGCGGGAATTTGTTTCAGGATAGATGGGGGATGGTTGGATTTGCTGTTGACGTAGAGTAGTTGGTTGTTTGGTTTGCTGTAAGGCTTGAAGGACCCATTTTTTTTAGGCTGAGTGTGACATCAAGGAAGTTGGTGGTGTGGATGTTCGCCTGTATGGTGATGCGGAGGTCGAATGCGTGGAAGATAGATATAATATTTTTCCTCATTCCAGTGAATCAGCAAAAAAATAAACGCTATAGAAGTAAACAAGTAAAAAATCAACTACTGTGTGCACTTTATTTAGTTTATGACAGCCAATTTCAATGGACATTTAAGCTGATAATCAAGATTGCTTCTCAGCTCTAATAAAGTTAACAGAACAAGGAACTACCCTGAGGTTAGCTGGTAAGGTTTTTTTTTTAACCATGCAATATTAATTGGTTTCAACACCATGTTTAACGATGCTGGTCAAGCAGATCTAGTCTGAGTCATCTTGGATTTGATCTTCAAACTTCATATTAATACAGCAAAATATATTAAATCAAGAGTTTCCATATCATTGTGCTAATTGAGATTATATTATGTATTGTCATTTACTTATGATAAGTTCTATCTACAGAGATACTGTTCAGAGTGACTGATGATGGTGTACTGTATCATTCGACTTCTGAATCTGACTGGACAAACCAACCATGACTGCACAATTTGCAGAGAGTTATTTGAACCTAAAAGTGTAAAAAATCAAAATGGAGTTATACCGGATAATCCTGGGTGTTGTCAGATAGCATGATGGGAGATAATCATACCAGGCACGTGTCGCAAAAATTAAACAAGATGCAGCCAACTTCTAAATCAATCATCGATATTCATACGTGTCTAGAAACTGTGTACTCTTCTTGTACGCATGAAATTTCAATCTAAAGTACTTTATGAAACTTTAATTGAATTTGCAAAACTTGCTAGGTCAGATAAGATAACAAATTGATGTAACATACTCATCCTGCCAGGGAAGTGGTGGCGAATGGAAATTGAACTTCAATGATTTTGAACCAATATCACTGTAACCTTGACCATGCTAATTATTTTTAATAATGAAATAAATTAAAAAAAGGATTTTCTATATTTAAAATAAATAATGAATAAATTAAAATAAATGGTTACAAGTCTTTATACTGCCTAGTATAGGTAAAAAGTTTATCAACCATAACTTGACCGAATATACACTGTACTGTTATTCCAGTGATAATTTCAATAAATAAAATACATTATTAATTATATTGCCTTATATTTGCTGACATCAAATTGGCCATAAAATATTTATATTATATAGATTTTTGATACTAATTTTGTATTGTGGTTTTTTTTTTCAGGGCAGATGAGGAGCTTCAAACAATAAATTTTTTTTTTAGGCCCTACCACTGGCACTGGGTTATATACAATGCTGGTTTAATCTTGCCCTGCACCCCTACTTACAGTGTAACTGCCTTTCAACACTAATTAATAAACAAACAAAATTACTAATGAAGAAAAAAAATATATAAGAAAAGACAACCATTGAGCTCTGCTTGTAGAGTCACTTCCGATCAAAAGTTATTAATCACCAATTCACTCAGCAAATTAATCTTTCAATTTTAGATCACATAAATTTCAAGGAGGCGGCAACAATCTAAGCCAAAATTGCTTGGCAACCAAATGACTTTATTTATTAATGAAAAACTGTTTGCGGAAGTTGGTTGTTGTCTGCTGTAATGAGTCTTCTTTCCTGGTCTGTAAAAGAGGTGCCTCCTGACACAGCTGCTGCATACATGACATAGAAGCCTATTTGGTGAACACAGCTATAAAATGATACTGGTAGAACACTAGAGAATGCCATAATATTTATGCTGCCCTCTATAGAGTTGGGATTTCAATCTTTCAACAATGAACCACTGGGTTACTACCACCTATTTCAATGATCTTTATGTAAGAATCAAATAAAATTATAACGAATGTGCAAAAATCTTCCATAAAATATTAATATATGAACGAATGTTTTGATATAAAATATTTAAATAAAATAAAGTACAGTAAATTGTATGGTACATATATTAGTATGTGTCAGAAAGAATACCAGTTCGTTGGCTGAAGATTACATGGCAACAGGAAGTGATAGAGTTGATCTAAACATTGATGAGGAACAGGCATAGATCAAAAAATGTAAAAGTGTCTGATCAAACAACTGTAACACAAAAAAAACCATGTCTAACCCTGGAAATGAGAAAACAGCCACTAAATGATACGATGATGATTAGATAATTTTTAAAAATCTCTCTCTATTGATGAGATGTCTTGAAATCAACTGAGTCAAAAATCTGGCTGATGTATTCATAAAGAAATGGGCTAGAACACAGGTAACATGTAAAATTTGAAGAATAACAATCTTGTACAAATAATGCAGGAATAATCTGGCTCAGGGGAACGGGCATAACCACCCTTTTTCAAACTTTTCCCACAATTGTTAAATATTAAAAAGTGTATCTCATTAACCATTTCCGATTTTTCGAAAAGCACTTTTTTGTGCCTTAGAAAAATCAGTTGTACATATTAAAATATTTTTTCCCCAGATGCAGATATTGCCATGGCAACCTGTAGTTCTTCATCTGTTTCCCTTTATTTAACAAATGCATAAATGGTAATTTAATGACCTGAGCCTGTATTTAATGACAAATGTTACAAATACTTAAACATAGTACTTTTCCTTGAGGTTATGAAGTGCTTAGACAAAGTCATTCCTACAAATTTCTATTCACGTTGCTGCCCCTAGGCATACCTACCAAGTCTCACGCATCTGGCGCTCCCAAGCCACTCACCTAAAATTTCAAGTTTTTCCATTAATCTCAAGCTTTATTTTATTAAACCCAAACTTTTTATCGAAATACTCGAAACCTTCGCAATTTAATAGTTTATCAGGCCTAGAATCATCGAAAATCTAGCATTCCTATTCTAGCTACAATTGCTTCGAGAATGGATCGACCACAGATGTAAACAATAGAGTTACCCATACATGTTATCCAAGTAGGAAACTAACACTGATGGCGCTATACATTACGTCATTTCTATGTGAGCACTAGAGATCTACTTAAGAGTGCACTAGAAAGCATCTAAGCTCAAAATGTTTCGGAGCCCTAGGTGGGCCCTCGACCCACACCAATTGGTTTATTTCCTGTCAAATCTCAAGCCATTAGCTACCTCCAACTTGGCATGTATGCCTAGGGCAGACAAGAAAACTGTAACCCACACCATTTGTATATAACCTGAAAAAGACCTGCATTTCTAGATAAAAATATAAAGGATGATAGCAGCTTTTGAGAGAATATATTTTATGGAAAGAGCTACGTCTGTAAATTATACTAAACAGCACATTTAGAAATATCTGATTGCTGCCCTCTAGTGGCAAAGGTTTCCTTGTACACTATTATCAGAATAAGGATAGCAGCAGTAGGAAGTGAAGCTTCCTTTCTATAAGACTGAGCTTCTTATTAATGGCCTGTACTGTTTGGTGTGTGAAAAGAGATGGTATGCAAGATGGACGCAGCTGTGACGTAAAGCTCTTTCTAATACCATCATCTTAATTACTTGCTGTAATGTTAAACCTCTCTCCTGGGATTAAAAAGATCTTATTTGCCTTAGTTTGAGATATGGGCAGCAGCTGTAAGTAAAGCTTTTACCTAGAAGTTCAAACACATTTAATTGCCTTGCTGCAATGTAAAGCTACTCCGATAACTTAAATCAAACATCTTAATTTCCTTTTAGTGGCCATACCTTGGTTTGTGAATTGAATAGGCAGCTGTAACGTAAAACTCTTTCCTATAAGGTCAGACATCTTAATTTGTGTTGAAAGTCCTGTCAGTGTATCGATGTGGTTCACATTCACCGATGGATCACCCCGGGGTCTTGTTCCATACGGCACTTCACCTGATTTTAGCCGGGCTAATATTTCTATTTCAAATTAAAGATACACTTGTTAATAACCTAAAATTGGCTGGAAATTGATTTAAAAACATGCTTGTAGTAAAAATCTGTAGATTTAACCCCTGATGTAATATATGTCTTTTTTATCTTATATTAGGTTGGACAATGCTACATTTTATGTTTAACCAAAAAAAAAAAATAGAGGTTTAATCAAAGATAATAAATAGTAGAAAATAGAGCACTTTGCGATATAGTGAAACGTCGATGAGAGCGTCCATGGAGCAATTTTCCTCCATCCTAGAGGTGGCGCTATATGTTTATAATCAACAGATAAATCCAAGGCACCGCTCAAGTTTGTTTCCTTATTTCTCCACTCCATCAAATGGTCACAATTATTTCCTCAATTCTAGAGAGGGCGGATGTTCCATCAATTTTAATGCAAAATATGTGAAGAGCTCATTCTTCTGATATATTAAGTTCTTTGGTTTAATAAGAATAGCATTTCACTCAACACTATAGGAATGTTCAGTCATTATACTAAATGCAATAGAAATTTGGGTGGGAGTCAAACCCACAAATTCCAACGTTACTAGCCTGGAAACAAAGACAACAGTAGGTCACAAAGCTTGCACTAATGACCAACTAAATTTGATCCCCAAATAGTGGCAGGAACTGCAATGATCTTGCATCAAGAAATGTTTTCATATTATAAACAGAAGTTATACCTTGGAATGAGAGTGTATTGTGGTTAGGTACATGCCTCTTGAGAGCCCACCATTTTGCACGTAGCCACTGCGGAGATCGCACACTCCGCCACCCTTGGGCCAGGTCATCCCAATTGATTGCACTTTCAACCTGCTGGGCAGTTGCTATCAACCTATTCAAATTTCAAAGGAAAGGAATTAAATTATGAACATTCTTGTTGTACATATTATTCAATATTATATTAATATTATCACAATCACTGTTGTAGAAGTAGTTGATGCAGCATAGACAGTTTGGCTTCCCAACCTCAGTCAGGGTTTAAATGCACTTTATCTGCATTGCTTCTCCCAATCCAGAAGTAAAAGTGGATACCTGGTAGGGTTTGAATGCCACATGATCTGATTAGCTACTGCAATGTTATGGAATACTCTCCTGAAACTTGAGTTTGTGTTTATTCCAATGACCAGGGTAATTGATGATGCAAAGCGCAGAGGCCTTAGTGTGATGCAGTGTATAAGTCTACCATTATCATTATTATTGCTAGGATAATATTGAATTTCATTAATGTTAAGCTAATTGAGGCTATTTGATCATTATTTTTATCGCTACTAAAATTATGTAACAATATTATTATAGTTACTTTTCAATAAGTTTATCATCATCCTCCTTCAGCCAATATGTTCCACCAGTCTTCTTCCAATTCAAGTAGTTCAACCATTTTGTTCTGCATTGTTTTTCAGACCTTGTTCCCACCTGCTTGGCCACCTGGTTCCACGAAACACCTGTAGTTACACTTGACCCAGGTACAGCACCTGTTAACTCATAGACAGACTCGGCCAGAAGCTGTTCCTCCTCCGGACTCCATTTGCCTGGAATTTCGTAAATTCTATCAGGTCAAAGTTGTAACTAGTACCAAAGAGTATAAATAGAACAAGAGAGCAAAGTCCCGTTCGTAAAAACGTCATGCCTGTGTAGGACGCCAACTAACGGTTGTATATTCTTTTTATTACCCAGTGCAGCGCTGCGCAACGCGGTAGAAGTAAACTCAGTAAGCAGAAAACAAAAGTACAGTATCTTGTGGAGAACAGATAAACAGACAAACCTACAGCTGTCTCTTATACACATCTAGATGTGTATAAGAGACAGGTGCAGTACTGGGTAATAAAACATATACAAGCGTTAGTTGGCGTCCTACACTAGCTGCGTAGAGCGTATCGTTTTTTTACGCTCCCAATGAGCGTTGTTGGCTCTCTTGTTCTATTTATACTCTTTGCTAGTACTTACAATGAAATCACATTACAATACTTCCAATCAAATCATACTTTATACTAGTTTTCATTACAAGTTGTAATAGGTCTTCACACCCTAAAATTAGGCTACACTCAATAATCATTTCCAGAGGCCAACCTTTATAAACCAAGGTCCTTCTTCGTTACAATGCAAAGCAAGACTTACTATATGTTGGATAAATATAGTATCCTCTAAATATGGTCATAATGACATCACATCATGACCATATATAGACATATCATGACCATATATAGGCACATCATGACCATATATGCGCATACAACAGATTTTATTATTTTATTATTTTAGATTACCTTGATGAGAACAGGGCTTGAGAAGACGAAATTTATCTTTGACTGATGAAGCACTTCGACCCATCTCTGTTCCAATGGATGCCCAGTCATTACCATACTGTTCGTGGAGACTGAAAGACAAAATATGTTTATATGATAGTGTACTGCATGCTTGTTTCAGACATATTTGATGAAACATATGTCTTTCCATATGTTTTGAAAGTTGCAGCATACTACACCGTCAAAAAGTCTGATCAAGTGTTGTCTGATAGCCCTATCCAGACTATCAAATTTTAAATGACAAAAAATTGTTGCATGCCCATATATAGTCATGATGTGCCTATGTAAGGTCATGATGTGATGTCATCATGACCATATATAGTCATGATGTGCCTATATATGGTCATGATGTGATGTCATCATGACCATATATAGTCATGATGTGCCTATATATGGTCATTATGTGATGTCATCATGACCATATATAGTCATGATGTGCCTATATATGGTCATGATGTGATGTCATCATGACCATATTTAGGCATGCTACATCTTTATGTCAAATAAAATTTGATAGCCTGGACAGCTTTAATCTCTATCCACACTATCAAATTTTCTTTGACAAAAAAATTTGACATGCCCATATATGGTAATGCTATGCCTATACATGGTCATGCTGTGATGTCCACTAAGATCTATCTATGCCCATAGTAGGAGGAATGCTCAATATCATGTCTGTCTCTTATACACATCTTTTGTGCTGATCACGGCGGAACTGAAGGGCAGCCTAACTCCAGCTACTTCCTGAAATAAATAAGCAATAGAGGGCAGAACAAGTTTGCAATCGGCCTACCCTCACTACTTGGCATTGCTGAACGATATACAAAATAAAATTGTGTTTATATTGATCAGCATTCTTCAATAAAGCCCTGTCCAGACTATCAAATTGTTATTTTCTCAAAAACATGTGACATGCCTATATATGGTCAAAATGATATCACATCATGATTGACCTTATATAGGCATACAACAGTTTATTTGTCCCAAGAAAATTTGAGTCTGGATTGCACTAGATTGTGCTTGTTAAGCTCTATCCACACTATCAAATTTTCTTTGACAAAAAAATTTGACATGCCCATATATGGTAATGCTATGCCTATACATGGTCATGGTGTGATGTCATCATGCCCATATATGGGCATATCACACTTTTTTGTCACACAAAATTTGATAGTGTAGACAAAGCTTAAGAGAAAATAAAATTTATAACACGCCGAGTTGAAACTTACTCTTTTAACTTCTCAATATCTTCCAAACTGTACCTAGAAATACAAAGGAAAACATATTCAATCAAAATGAAAGCAATAAACATTGGAACAATCTTCAGCAGAAGATTCTACAAACAATGAAAAGAACTTCAAAGTTTGTACATTAATAACATTTTAAAGTATGGGTATTTGTGGTACCCAAGCATTGATATAAATCACATGGGCAATAGTTGCATTAGAACCACAATCTTTGTGTAATTGTCTTGATCAACATCTTTGGGTGGCTTAGTTTTACCATGGAGCTATGGCTTGGCTTAATTTGTTGTGCACATTGTCTTTCTCATTGAACAATTTAAAGACAGTATAAAATAAAGTAATAATACTTTAATGAAGGTAAACGAGAATTAAAATAAAACATGGTTGTAATAAATATATGAAAAAAATTAATTAAAATAACACATAAAAGTTTCAGATAAAGTAACACTTACTTTCCGACATGGTTCTTACTATCATACATGCGAATAATCTTGCGATAAACAGCAAATAGAGGGCGGTTTAGTCCCTTCGCAATAAAACGGTAGAACCCCTTACGTTCATCCTTGTTCATACGAAAGATGACCTCTTGAGGGTTGCTTAAATTCTCAATCTAGGAAGAAATATACTCAGTTGCTGTCTTGATAATGGAAGATTGTGTTTTTTTTTAATAAGTAAATTTAGGTTCAATGGTGGACTGTATAAAAATGGAACTAAGCTGGAAAAAATGTTTAAATATTGTATAATACTATACAAGTATTAGTGTACTAAATTTACTATTTAAATAATACATATATAATCAGTATATTCTTAATGACCTAACAAGTGTTGATATAAGAATGGATAAATATTATTGTATAGTAAAGTTACCTCAAACCAATCAACAAAACAATTAATACTTTGAAAAGTAATGACTGTAAGGCGCTAAATTGGAAGAGAGTGGTAGCAAGGCTAATCACTTGACTAAACCAAAAAGGCCAAAAGAAGAAAGGTACCTCAATATATTCCTCAATATTTCTCTTTAGTATTTCAATTTCATCTAACGACCAAACTCCTTGCTTCCAGTTATGACCTATGATATAAAAAATCAATAAATAGTAAATTTTTGGGTAGTTTAAGTTTTGAAGTGCACTGTTGTGTCGATGCGCCATGAGCATCTTTTCAGATGGATGCGGGCACAAAACACGTTTTAACCTGCAAAAAAGACACCATCTTAGTAAATTTGACATAGGCCTTGATTTTCATTACCTTGTTCAGCCAGGTTATCTTTGCTTTGTTTTGACGTAAACCAAGATTGTGTGATGGGATCAAAACTTTTGTTTTTGCCAAATGTATTCTGTAAAAAAAATACAAAAATTAAAATTATATTTCACTAAAAAAAGTCATTATAGAGTTACGGGCATTAAAATCACAATTTGTATACAATCCATTGTAGACAGCTGTCCTTACAGCAACAATAAAATAATTAAATACTCTTGATGTTGTTTTAATTTTAAATCTTCCGTTGTAAATGTTTTGATGTACTGCCTTTTCCAATGTACTGTAAATTTGCATTGCAACCAAAGTAAACAACTGTAATTAAATTTGTAAATTTTATCATTCTCTTTCAATTTCAATGTAATTTTTTATTCATGTATGGTTTATATTTTTATTTATATATTTTATCCTTGTTTTAATGTATAAATCATTGCAATTCAGCTACTCGCTGAAATCTGATTTTTAATAAACTTGAACTTACCTCCTCTTGAGTGAATTGTGGGATAGTATTTGACAAGTTAACAGAAGTTGATGATGGTGCAACCTCGGTATCTACGGAGAAAATAATCCGTAAACAGTAATTGATAACCATTATTAGAAATGCTCTAATATCTAAAGTTAATCCTCAAAAACATATTTTTGGGGGTTCATTCCTTATTTTAAATAATTGTTTTTGTAAAAGTAAAGGTAGGTGAATAACCCCATAACTTGAAGTGTCATTGTGTTGTAATGCGTATTGGTATGGTTTGTGACTACTGTATTATCTGTAGATAGGGCCTAGTAGCTTCATGTTCACGTTAGTCCATGCCAGAGGTTGAAATGAACCATGTAGTGGGGTAGCTGCTAGTCTTCCAAAAGATACAATGGGTTATTTAAAGACAGTGCACACAAATCAGATACGTACACTGGACCTCCCTTTTTGAAGTCCTCATCCAAGAACATCTGGTTATACCAACCAACACTGGGTGAGAAGCAACGTGAACATTAAGGCTGAAAGTTAGTAGTGCCTCTGTCCTACTGCTCAGCCAATTAAAATTCTGTGTAATAAATACTGAAACTTCTGTTCTCTTTCAGTAGTGGAAACTGTCTAGTCTAGTTTTTTTTTCAGTATCTGTTAATGGCACCATCATGTATTTAGAAGGAGGGCTAATGTCGAAGTCAGATTTAAAGGGGAACCCCACCCCCCCTTTTTTAGAAAGTGTAAAAAAAAGGGGGGACCCCTTTTTTTAGAAAGTGTAAAAAAAAGGGGGAAAATAAAAAAAATTATTGATCGCTTAAAAGGCCTCATAGGTTATTTCTGGGCGTCTAGAAAACAAACATTTCGCGGATCCCCTTAGGGTAGTGTTCTCTCTCAATCAGGGGACCCACATTCAGACATCTCTGAATCCAACCCTGGGACCAATAACAGAATAGAATACAAACGAATCAGAAAATATCCGAAATTAATTGTAATCTTTTTTTCCAATATTTTCTAATTGATGCTTGAGTTTCTCCTTAGTTAAAAGTTCACCACCAGAACAATTTAACTGAGGGAAATGTGATTGACAATGTAAATTATTTCCATGGCAACAATTATTTCAGTACCAACCTTCAACCTCATGCAAACCCTCCACTGTAATATTCTGATCACCTACACGAATAACTTTCGCTTTCTTGATGACCAAATTGTTGAGAACTGAACTGTCCTTTCGTTTATATCCAATCATCTCACCTGTAATTATCAATTAATCATTATCAGATAGGTAGAAGATTTCTAAAATTTGGATCGCAGTTTAGGTACTGTACTGTAGGCCATTGTGGGGTTCCGATTGATTACAACAGTTTAAAATTAATAGATTCCCTTCTAAATTTATTAAAGAAAATAATTAATATTCAGTACATTTTTGGCTGTCCTAAAAATTGGACCTTTTTCGATTCTGGGGGTATACACACCGATCACATCTACAGATACGGGCCTGTAAAGCTTGTATGATTATGTTTGTGATTGACACCTACCTCCACCATTGTCCATAGGTACAAGCAAGTACTGAATTGAGTTATCAGGATCTAGCTTTGCACTATCTTCACTTAGATTCTCACAACTTAAGTCCAACGGGACAATTGTGGAGGATGCTTCCTTATCCATGCATCCCTCCATCTTTTTATATTAAGGACTGTAAAGCAAAATAAAGAAATTCATATCAAAATTAATTCAATTTCCAATTAAAAACTACTAACTAAGCAATAATGGCACAGTAAATAATGTAGCTTACTTTCTCATATTTTACAGCGATCTAGGCCTACACAAGTAAATTTTGTAAATTCCCAAATTTATACAAACCTTTTATTATACTTAATACGGCAACATTCTAGGACCTAGCAAGTTAGTTCAACCACTATTCAAATGGTTCTCTTTTTATGAAGTCCTTCTTAGACACTGGAGAATATTAAATTTTCTATAAAATGTTTAATGCTAATGAAAGAAGTTTGCTAGTTATGAAGGAGGATTTGCTAGCCATATGAACTGACTGAGAACCTTTGAATAGTGAGTTTGACCCAGAGCTGTTAGACTAGGTTATTACAACAGTAGGCTACGATACTTCCTCCTCGCCTATCTTTAGGCATCATTATTATTAGGGTTGTTCTTATTAATTATTACATACATATGAATGAAAACATAACGGCCAGCTTTCTACTAGACTAGGCTCATCATTGTGTTCGTTTATTATTTATATTGCAAGTCTACTGTAGGATCTCTTCTGCTAGCTTAGCACAAGTTGGGCCCGATCGTCTCACAATGTGACCGATCGTCCTGGGCCAATCATCTTGCAGGCCCGATCTTCTGTCACCCGCCTAGCGGCAGAGGTATGCTTGGTTGGGCCTAGCCTAAGAGAGTAGGCCTAGGCCTAGGCTAGGCATAAAAAAAAAAAAACGAAAATGCGTAGGCCTTCTACAATTTCAATAGTATCAGAAACAGTTATAGAAGTCTTTAAAGACTGGCTTTGCTATTTTGACATATTCATCGATAATAAAGAGTATATAACCGCATTCAACATTGAATAGGCCTAGGCCCAGCCTAGCCGAACTGCTTCTGGCACACTTGCACCGGGCAGACATTGGACAGCAGCTTCCACACTCACTCACATGGTACTTTGTTTACCGTACGGGTACTTTTCAGCAGCAAAGCCCAGGATGAAAAGAGACCTGGATAAAAGTACCAGGATGTTAGACAATAAAAATCAGTAAATAATACAAAAGCAACTCCAAAGTATGTAAATGCATTATATTACATCAATTAATAAACATTTTAATACAAAAAATACACTCACAAAACTACAGAGTTTTCGAGCACACGGCAAGGAAACGGAATTTCTTCTCAGCAGCGGAAATAATCGATAAGACGCTACTATATAGAGGGCGCCATTTAAATCTGCAACGACATCATTGGTAGAGACTTCATACGCTAGACTGGATTGCTATGGATAATTTTTGTTTTCCTCCCGGTTTTCTACTACAGTACTATTATTTATTTATTTATTTATTACGTTATAAAATGCACAAAAACGATGAAACGATGAAGTATAATTTGAAATCCAAGATGGATGAACTGATAGTGTTACGACAGTTTCTCAGTCAGATGTATCCGTTTTTAGAATAGGGCCTACATGAGACTCAGCACGTGCATTTTACACAACTTTAAAGAGCTAACTTTTAGTTACACTGTAATTCATGCTCATCTGGAGCTCATTTCATTAATATTGTTTTTTATTAATTGTTGTTTCAATTTAATTGCTTGATTTCCATTTGTATTTTGATGTGTTTTTTATGTCTTTGCATGTACGATGTGTCAAAGTTTGCTTTAGGCCTATAATTATTCGGATTTGAAGGGTTTTTTTTTTAAATAAATTGAACAAATAAATTGAAAATTTAAATCATATATAAACTTGGGATAAACGCTGAATAGACCTTTCCGGAGTGTCAATCAAACTTAACAACTGACTAATCAGAACGGCGCTAGGAATACGCACGCGTCTCACAAACACACGTGTTGTCCCACAAACGCACGTGTTGGCGTATGCTTTAACACTGTCGTCTTGTGGTACCTTAGCAACAATATCTAAGGGACGGGGCTTAGTGGAAAGGTCCATTGTTTACAGTTAAGAAAATTCAAATCAGCTTCTGCTTTACGTGATTTTTTGAGTGGTTTTTCTAGCTTCCTCAATTCAGACTTTATAACTTCACTGCTGCATGATATTTCGTATTATCATCATCTTGCCAGAATCTTCAGAACTTAAACATCAGGCCACACTCTCCAAATTATTTTACTGGTTCATATATTTAACAATTCAACTTACAGTATAAATTATGTAGACCTAATATTTATACATTATTTAATCAAAGGACATTATTTACAATTTTTTAGACCTAATGAGTTGGGATTTGGTACAATTTCAAAATATTTTTATACATTTTCATTTGTATTTTTTTTTTCTTGAATTTTGATGTTATGTTGTCCTGAACTAAGGACCCCATTGCAAATAATAAGGGTTTTTTTTAACTACTTTCATGGGCTATCCCTGTATATAAACAACATTGCAACTTGTCTTGTTTCTTTTTCTTAATTTTAGGCAATTAAGAACCTTCGCTTTTTTGTCGTTTTATTCTCTTTTATTTCCTTGTCTGCATATGAATATTGATGTTTTTTAAATCAAATAAATTCAATCAATCGCTGCCGCCACCGACACCACCACCGCTGCCACCACTTTCATCACTATCATCGCTAGAGCAATCATCAACATCATCATCATCATAACCACCATCATAGTTACCAACTTGAGAGATTTGAAATGCCTGACTACACCAGCTGGGGGTGGGGGACGCTGTCCCCTCCGGGGTTAAGAGGCGGAGCCCCAGTGTGGGTACAGGGCTCCTGGCCAGGGTTGCCATTTGGCCTTTTTGACGGCCAGATTCCTCATACCTGGCCGTATAAAAATTTGCCTGGCCGTAACGTTTGAAAAGTCACGGTCAAACTATATTTGGCCGAATTTTTGAATTTACATTTTTTTTTCAATACAGGCCTAATATAACAGACTTGTTTTGGATGTGTTGTTTTTGTTAGCTTAAATTCTATATTTGATTCTAATCACAGTGGCGGATCCAGGGGGCTCAGGGGGTGGGGGTTCGTTCCCCCCTCTGTGAAGAAACGTAACAAAACACTATGGGTCCTGGCTTACAAAATTCATGCTAACTAGACGCGGATCCAAACCTTCGTCCACTTCGCCCAAGGTCAGGGTGAGAATTCAAAATAAATTTTTTTCCTTATTTTGAACATTACCATTAGAAAAATGTTTAAAAATCCACACTATCCTATACCTTACACTTTTAAACTGATTGTACTGTAGGCCCACCAGAGAGAGAGGTACGGTACATTCCCAATACATTATGGTCTTCCACTTCTATAGCACATGATACAGTGCATAGCGAACGTTATGTAACCACTAATAATACTCAGGTCCAGTGGCGTAGGTATGGGCAGTGCAGTCAGTGCACAGCACTGGGGCCCGGGGCTATTAGGGCTCATTCAATAGGTATAATGATCTAAAAATTTAACTTTAAAAAAATCCTATTCAAACTTTAAAAGCACCCTTCAATAATATTAGGTTTTAGAGGCTATAGTTATTGATTATATTCATTACAATTTACCTATTAGGCCTACCTATTTCCCAAACTCTGCAAGTAAAAAAAACAAAACAACAATACAAGCCCTTACGTATACGATGGACTAATATACTTTTTGAAATCACATTTCTAAAGCAATACAATATCGTCACGCTCATTTTGTGTTTGTGGTACAGTATTTTAAAGTTGGTTCAACTATTATTGTGTACGTTTTCAAACACTTCAGATCATCATAACTTCATCAATACATTTTAGATTCAGTTCACTGCGAGTAGGTCGATGACTGTTCTATTATTGAATGGTAATTGTTATCATCGTGATGGAATAGACAATACCTAGATTTGCGTCAGGAGAATCAATTAGGGGCCTATATGTATTTTGCCCAACCTGTCGTGAAAATGTATTGAATACTCAGTGCATGATTC